GGGGAGCAGTCACGTGATGCCCGCGGCCGGGGGCTGGCGGTGGTTAACCTCTGTGTTTGGGCAGAGGCGTAGCTTCTGAGTAGGAAGTGGCTGTGCCTCGGCCGTGTCAGTCTCCCCGCGTCTCCCTCCGTGACCGGCTCCCCTCTGGTCCTGGGTCCCCGCGGCGACGAGGCCGGACGCCTGGGACCGGTCACGGCGTGGCTGCAGGTAAGCACCGCGGCGAAGGGGCTTCTCCTCTCCTCCCCCGGCCTGGCCTGGCTGCCCGGGTCCGAGGGACCGGAGACCCCTCACAGCTTCCCTCCCTGCTCCCGGGGCCCGGCTCTCGGGGCGCGAGTGCCGGCAGCCGCCCGGCCCGCACTCAGCAAACATCGCGCTTCAGACGTGCCCTCGGGTCTGGGCAGCGCCGTCCGGGCACAAGCCCTCGCGGGGGGACAGAGGGCCGGGCCGGCTGCTGCCGAGAGCCGTGCTCTTCGTCCGGCGCAGCTCGGCGTTGGCTCCGCCGGCGGCTCCGCCGGGGCCTGGGGCGCGGCAAACGGAGACCCGTGCACCCAGGCCGCGTGGGGAGGGGGCGCGAGGGGAAGCTGTGCCACAAGCCGGCGGGGCGTGCTCTGGGCTCAGCGTCAGCAGCTCCGCTCGCCGGTCCGCAGCCGGGGGTCAGGGGCCGGGAGCGGCCGGCGCGCCCCACGCCTGTGGGTGAGACCGGCGGAGGGAAGTGCGGTGCGAGTCAGCACGCCGCTGGGGCCACAGAGGTGGTGTCTGCGGATAAAGAGCCGCGAGCAGCCCCGGGCGCACAGGAGCCGGGGCAGAGCGGCGGGGCCAGGCTCAGGCTCACCGCTGGAAAGCACCCGCCCCTGACCGCGCTCAAAAGCAGAAGGAAGAGCGATGCAGCCGCGGCGGCCGATCCCAACCACCGCGGCCGCCGCTGCGAGGAGGCGGAGCCGCTCCCGGGCCGGGCCGGGGCTCAGCCTCAGAGCCGGGATTTACTTATTTATTTAAAAAAAAATATATATATATTATTGATTTTTTACAGAGAGGAGGGGAGAGGGACAGAGAGCTAGAAACGTCGATGAGAGAGAAACATCGATCAGCTGCCTCCTGCACACCCCCCGCTGGGGATGTGCCCGCGACCAAGGTACAAGCCCTTGACCGGAATCGAACCCGGGACCCTTCAGTCCGCAGGCCGACGCTCTATCCACTGAGCCACACCGGTTTCGGCTCAGAGCGGGGTGTTAGCTGTGCTCCACGCAAGGTCTCGGGGTGCCTTGCAGGCCCTCTGGGGCGAAGTGAGGGGGGAGGTAGGAGCCCACAGGCTCTCAGGGGCTCGTGTCCGGCTACAAGGCGGACACACTGCCCACATGGATGTGGAGCCGTGATTCCCAATGTCCAGAATGTACTCAGAACCCATGCATGCATGCACACACACGCACACACACCCGCACATGGCACATGCACATCACATACGAACATATCACCTGCACACACGTGCATTGGTTATGTACAACACACATAGCACATAACTCACACTCTGTCCCAGCCTTGCCCCTTGTCCTGCAGGCTTCACTGTTTATGAAAACAAGCTCAGATTTTAAGTCTCAGCTTTGATTTAATGTTAACAAACGTAACCTCATGGTTGAATTTGTTTAAATTAATTCTAACCGCTGTCCTCGCTGGTGGTATCCCACTGCTGCCAGGCACCGAGCTTTCCCGGGTTAGTTTTCTGGGGTGAGTCTGCCTGGGCCAGGGGCCCCCGAGTGGAGGGTCCCCCACCACACCGCCTCTCAGCCTCCTCTGCCCGGCCCCAACCCCACCGGCCCTGCCGGGGCCCACCACCAGCTCCCCGTGGGCGCTGCGGGCTGGTCCGCAGGAAGCTTGTGCTGCCACCGCCCTGCTCGCCTGCTGGGCCCTGCTCACCTGCTTACCGGAGGCGCCCAGAGCCCCAGGGGGAAGCTGTGGTGAATGAGGGGCCCCGGGGTCTCTGCAGGGCATGGGGGGTGCGGGCGTGGGGGTGGGGGCGTGGGCATGGGCGTGGGGGTGCGGGCGTGGGCGCGGGGCGTGGGTGTGGGCGCAGGGCGTGGGCGTGGGCGCGGGGGCCGGCGCCGCCTGCTTGGTGTGAGCTGCGTGTGGACCGCTGGCCCCTCCTGGCCCTCAGGGCGTGCTCTTCCCGCGCTGAGCGGACTCGCACTCGCTGCCGGTCACTGAGACGCGGCGTTTGGCTCGAGTCCTAACGCGGAAGCCACGTTGTTTTACCTCGAAACGTGAGTGAGCAGTGTGGGTCCTTGTCTAATGGAGACTCTGAGCTGCACCACGTGTTCTCCACGTAGCCCCTCCACCGGGACGGCCTCGGCCGCGGCGGCCGCCGGCACCCGCCGGGCAGCAGTGTCCTCGGGGGAGGCCGCGCTGGCGTGGGCCGGGGGGGGGGGGGGGGCCTCTCGGCGAGGCGCCCGGACCCTGGGAGCCGGCGCTGCTGATCTGGCCGCGGCGCCGCGACCAGCCACGGGCGGAGTGAGCAGGTGCGTCTGAGCCGCTGGGAGCGGCCGTGACGACGCCAGGAGCCAGCTGGGCCCGAGCCAGACCTGGCCCTGCCGGGCTACTGGCCGCTCCGTCCGCCTGTGCGTCCAGGCAGCACGGGGTGGGGGTGGGGGGGCCCTCAGGCACAGCTCTGCCGCCACCGGCCTGGCCCTGCCGGGCTCCTGGCCGCTCCGTCCGCCTGCGCGTCCGGGCAGCACGGGGGGGGGGGGCCCTCAGGCACAGCTCTGCTGCCACCGGCCTCGGCTCTGTGGAACGTCCAGGAGGAGGTGCCCCCAGCGTTTCCCAAACTCACCTACTCCGGCACCCCTCCCCCTCGGCCACAGTCTTCCTGGCAGAAACGGGGTTTCTCCAGAGCTGAACCGGGAGTCACGTGAGCAGGCGTGTGCCGGCCTCTGACGTGTCTGGTGCTGTGTCACCGCCCCCGCTTCCCTGGGACGGTCCACGTGGCGCCTGTGGGACACGGTGGCCTGGCGCTGAATCACCGCCGGCAGCCGGGTGCCGGGAAGGCACGGGCCGGGCTGCGGTCTGGGCTGCCAGCACCGATTCTCAGCCACCTGCGCGGACTAGGCCTTGTCTGCAGTGCGTGCCCTTTGACCCCGCGGTCCCGAACACCACCCCCAAGCAACACGGAGCTCACACGCCAGGGGCCCCGTGATGAATCCCGAAATTCCAGTCACAGGGGTCAGAGGGGACTGAAGCAGAGCCTCCCAGGTAGACAATCCAGCAGAGCCTTCACCTCCCCACCAGCCGGCACCCCCTGCCCCGCCCTCCTGTCTCAGGGCCCTGATGGGGCGGCCACAGCTGCCAGCTGGTGCCAGCTCCTGGCAATGGGAGGGAGGTGCGAGGCCCCCATCAGGCGTGAAGGGACAGAGTGGGAGCACCTCACAGGCATGCGCTCAGGAACCCGTGAGCGGGCTGTGGGTCAGGCTGCTCCCTCCTCACACGCGGGGCACACGCAGGGCACACGCAGGGCACACGCGGCCTGCAGGTGAGGACCGGCGGCTGGAGGGACTGTGTCCCAGCCAGCATGGCCGCCTGCCTCTGCGTGTCCCCTCCTCCTGACCTCTCCGGCCACAGGCCAGGGGTCGGCGAGAGGATGGGGTGAGTGGTGCAGGGGGAACTCCAGGCCGGGGTTGGGGGTTTGGGGGTTTGGGGGTTTGGGGGGTGGAGGGGGTGGGGAGGGGCAGTTGGGCGTCCCTAGTGCTGCCATGGAGGTGGTAGAGGTCTCGCCACCTCCACTGTGAGCCCGGCCTCTGGCTGAGCGGCCCTCCCCCTGTGGGAGCGCACTGACCACCAGGGGGAGCTCCTGCGTTGAGCATTTGGTGTCAATGCACGTCAAATGAGTGGCCTTAGCATATCATTAGCATATTACCCTTTGATTGGTTGAACAGCCAACCGGACGACCAGACACTTAGCATATTAGGCTTTTAGTATCACTCAACCACTCGCTATGACGTGCACTGATCCCCAGGGGAAAGACGCTCCAGCCAGTAGGTTAGCTTGCTGCTGTGGTCCAGCTGATCGGGACAGAGAGAGCCAGGCCAGACCACCGGGAGCCCTCCCGCGCCCCTCCCCAGCCCCGATCGTGCCCCGTGGGGTCCCGCAGCCTGGCCTGCGCCCTCGGGGGATGTCGGAGAGCTGGTTCCGGCCCGATCCTGCAGGCCAGGCCCAGCGGCCCCATGGGTGAATGAATTTGTGTCCCGGGCCTCTAGTTAAGGACGTACACTTTCCTGCTGCCTTTCCCGGCCAGGGGTCTTGTCAGCATGTCCTGAGGATTTCCAGAGTTTAAAGAAAACCCGTGACAGCTCACGGGCGGCGCCCTGAGCTGTGCCGTTCGCGCCCTGCCGGTGAGCGCCGGAGCGGCAGCCTTCAGCCCGACTGCCCCGGCCCACGCGCGTCCGGGCTCGGCGTGAGGAGTTCGGTGCGGGCCAGAGTCTGCGGCGCTGCTGTCACCCTGTTCACCCCGAGGACCGGAACCCACCCACGCGTGCGCGTTGTCGCCCACAGCCACCTTGCAGGCGTGTGGGAGGGCCCGGCCAGCGTGGCTCCGTGGCTGAGCGCCAACCTGTGGAGCAGGAGGTCAGGGCTCCATTCCCAGTCAGGAGGATGCAAGCGCAGCCAATCCGTGACTCTGTCACTGATGTTTCTAGCTCTTTCTTCCTCTCCCATTGCCTCTCTCTAAAGAGGTAAATAAAAAATCTATTAAAAAGGTAAAAAGTAATGTGGCAGAGACCCTGTGACCTGCAGGGCCCGAGGCCTCGGTCCGGCCCGCGGGAGGGTGCTGCCCCCTGCTGGAAGTGGTGTGTTGGGTGGCGCTCCTAGTCCTCGGAGAGAGGACGATGCCCCCCACTGTCCGGCCCCCCAGAATCCGTGTCCTAACGCCTGTGGCTCTCGCTTCCTTTCCTGCCCAGGGCCCCTCCTCTGCTGACTCCCCGTGGGCGGGCCCCCGGCTGCCCGGCGCCGGTGGCACCATGAGCGAGGTGAGTGCCCGGGGTGTGGGCTGGGGCGGACGCTGGGGTCCCGGCCCGGCCGCTGACGCTCCCTCCGCCCAGGCGCTCGTGACCTTCACGGACACCTACCCCGACGAGGACGAGTACAACGGCACGGAGGACTACGCCGCGGACCCCACCCTGCTGTGCGTCCTGCAGGACGTGCGGGACTTCTCCCGGCTCTTCGTGCCCGTCACCTACTCCCTCATCTGCGTCTGCGGGCTCCTGGGCAACCTGCTGGTGGTGCTGACCTTCGCCTGCTACAAGAAGGCCAAGTCCATGACGGACGTGTACCTGCTCAACATGGCGCTGGCCGACATCCTGTTCGTGCTGACCCTGCCCTTCTGGGCGGCCACGCACGCCGCCGGCCGCTGGGCCTTCAGCGGCGCCCTGTGCAAGCTGGTGCGCGGCGTGTACGCCGTCAACTTCCACTGCGGCATGCTGCTGCTGGCCTGCATCAGCCTGGACCGCTACGTGGCCATCGTGCAGGCCACGCGCTCCTTCCGCCTGCGGGCCCGGCTGCGGGCGCACCGCCGCGCCATCTGCCTGGCCGTGTGGGCGCTGTCCGTGCTGCTGTCCGCCTGGGCCTTCGTCTTCGCCCAGAAGTACCCGCTGCAGGGCCGGGAGGTGTGCGAGCCGCGCTACCCGGCGGCTGCGGAGCCGCTGCGCTGGAAGCTGTTGCCGCTGGGCCTGCAGCTGCTCTGGGGCTTCTTGGTGCCGCTGCTGGTCATGGCCGGCTGCTACCTGCTCATCGTGCGGGCGCTGCTGCGCGCCCAGAACTCCCGGCGGCACCGGGCCGTGCGGGTGATCGTGGCCGTGGTGCTGGTGTTCCTGGCCTGCCAGCTGCCCCACAACGCCGTGCTGCTGGTCACGGCCGCCAACCTGGGCCGGCTGGGCCGGTCCTGCCGGGCCGAGCGGGCGCTGCGCTTCCTGGAGGCGGGCACCGAGGTGCTGGCCTTCCTGCACTGCTGCCTCAACCCCGTGCTCTACGCCTTCGTGGGCCAGCGGTTCCGCAGCCACTTCCTGCGGGCCGCCAAGGACCTGCTGTGCCTGGGGCCGCGGCGCGCGCCCGGCCTGGCCTGCGGCCGGCTGCCCTCCGAGGCCTTCCCCTCCCGGCAGACCAGCGAGACGGCCGCCGAGGACAACCCGTCCTCCTTCACCATGTGAGCCGGCGCCGGCCGCTCACGTCCGAGGACGCTTCCCCGGGACCGGATGTGGACACGGGGCGTGGACACGGGGCGTGGACATGGGGCGTGGACATGGGGTGTGGACATGGGGGGGTACGGGGCGGGGGAAGGGGGGACACTCGTGCAGATTTTCTCCACCAGAAGCTGGTTCTGCCGCCTCTGAGGCCAGCACCCACGAAGCAGGCTCTGGGCACCCGCATCCAGGGAGGGCTGGCGCACGGGAGCGTGTGGGGAATGTTCACGAACCAGCCCTGGACCGACCGCGTTTCTCCCGGTGAGAGAAAAGAATACTAAAAAACTCGCATACACACAAAACAACCAAAAAACACAGAAAGAACAGGACACCGCTGAGGGATACATAGGGGCCCTGACCCCTAGTCCGCCGTTTCTCCCGGTGAGAGAAAACAATACTAAAAAAACCACACACACACACAAAAAACCAAAAAACACAGAAAGAACAAGGTCACCGCTGAGGCATACACAGGGCCCTGTCCTGGGGTGGAGGGAGAGGGAGGCTCCTGGCTCCCAGAGGCGGGTCCGTTAGGAATCAGGTTTCCTCCGTCTCTCAGCTTCTAGAAAGTTCCGGGAACTCGTGTCGGAGGGCCGTGTACATGTAGGCGCACAGGAGGGAAAGCTCAGCCCGTTCGAAGGCAGGCGAGCTGGGGGTGCTGACAGGGTCCCGGAGGCCGGTGCGTGTGCTGCGGACAGACCGGCCTCTGCAGCTTCCTCTCGTGCTCACCAGCGTCTCCGCGTCTCCACTGAGCTCACGGTGACCTCTGAGGGCCCGACGTCTGCATTTTATTAAAAAAAATATATTTCTTTATTGATTTCAGGGAGGAAGGGAGAAGGAGAGAGAGAGAGAAACATCCATGATGAGAGAGAATCACGGATCAGCTGCCTCCTGCACGCCCCCTGTGGGGATTGAGCCCACAACCCAGGCATGTGCCCTTGGCTGGAATTGAACCTGGGACCCTTCAGTCCACAGGAGGATGCTCTAGCCAATGAGCCAAGCTGGCCAGGGCTGCATTTTATTTAAAAAACAAACAAACAAAAACAACTCAAAACATTTTAAAGCCACTAGTTTAAAAAAAAATTTTTTTAAATTGATTTTAGAAAAGAAGGGAGAGAGAGAGAGAAACATCAATGATGAGGGAATCACGGATCGGCTGCCTCCTGCACGCCCCCTGCTGGGGATCGAGCCCTGACCCGGAATCAAACCGTCACTTCCTGGTTTATGGTCGACACTCACCCCTGAGCCCCGTGGCCGGCCAGCGTGTCCGGTTTAAAACACGGCGTTGGCTCCGCAAAAGGCAGCTGGCTTTCAGGGGAGCAGAGGCGGTCCTGGGGTCTCAGGGTTCCGTCGGCGGGATCACCGGGTGCAGCCTCTCCCCCCTCACATCACCAGCAGCCGCTCCGGAACCAAAGCGAAGGGACACCTTCAGGTGCCCAGACAGACAGGACCTCGTGGCACTGAGACCTGGCGCCTGGATGGACAGGACCCCGTGGCACCTGGCGCCCAGACAGACAGGACCCCGTGGCACCTGGCGCCCAGCATGGACAAGACCCCGTGGCTCTGAGACCGGGCGCCCGGCACGCGGAATGGCTCCTCCGTGTGACCGAGCCCGGAGGGGCGCAGCCTCTCTAAGCGCAGCCCCCGCTCCGCCGCCCGCCTCAGCGAGGAATAAAAGTGCCCCCGTCCCAGCACTCTGCTCCCCACGCAGCGTCGCTGTCCTGGCCGCACGCTGAGTCAGGCCCAGCCACGCGCCCGGCGCCCGCCCAGCACAGAGCTGCGAGGGCCTCCTCCCACGGGGAAGGCTCTGCGTCCCCGGTGGCCCTGGCCTCCCCCGCTCCCGGCGCCTTCCTCACCGCCGGCTCCCGGACACGGCGCTCGGCGGGTCCGGCCACGTTCGCAGCGTGGCCATCGGCACCGTGAGAACACGCTGGCCGGAGGGAGCCACACCTCGGCCTGTCGTTGGTGAAGTGACCACACACACACACACACACACACACACACACATGCACACTCATGGCGTCACACACGCGTGAGCAATCCCATCTGCTGTGCTGACAGGGACGTTTTTCTTGGTTCTGCCACAACGTGGTTCCGAGGACCCAGTGGGTTCTTTCTGGACACATGAGCCTGTCACCACGAGCCTGAGTGTGACCCAGTAAGCTGCCCCCTCGACCAGAGGCACCCAAGTCTCCTGCAAACTGCCCACCCGTTTGCTTCTGAGGCCGGGCAGGCTGGCGTGTGAGAGGCCAGAAACATCACTTCCAGATCCTTAAAACGTCCGGCTGTGGGCACTCCGGGCGCCGCGGGCATCGGCAGCCCCTGGCCATTGACACACGTGTGGGCCTCAGTGCCTGGCGCACCCTTCGCTGGGGCTGCGGGGACGAGAGGCCGGGTCGTGCCTGGGCATGGCTGGCGGGCATGTGCCCTGACCGGGAATAGAACCCTGACCTCCTGGCTCATAGGTTGCTGTTCAAGCACTGAGCCACCTGCCCAGACTAGAGCCAATATCTTTTTAAAAATATATATATTTTTATTAATTTTTTACAAGCAGGAAGGGAGAGGGATAGAGAGCTAGAAACATCGATGAGAGAGAAACATTGACCAGCTGCCTCCTGCACACCTCCTACCGGGGATGTGCCCGCAAGCAAGGTACATGCCCTTGACCGGAATCGAACCCGGGTCCCTTCAGTCTGGAGGCCGACGCTCTATCCACTGAGCCACTCCGGTTTCGGCTAGAGCCAGTATCTTATAAGCTTCACCTTCTGCCTGGCTGTAGGCGGCCAGTTGGGTTCTTCAATTCTAAGTGACGTTCGGGTCCTCTTTCTGAACCCGGTGCCCAGGGCAGCGCCCAGCCGCTCCGCGTGCACGCCTGCGCTCCGGGTCTCCCAGGAGTCATGGCGGGAAGGTGACCTGCCTGCGGCCCAGGGCGTCCTCTGCTGGCCGCAGGCCGCACCCGCAGGCACGCTCCCTCCAGCCACCCACGTTCTCCCCGATCGCGGGACAAAGGGGCGCGTGGCAGTGGGAGAGCTTCCACAGAACCTCACACTGTGTCCTCTGGAGCCTGAATAAAACTCAGAATAACAGCTCAGCAATCTGATTGCGAAGGCGGCCGCTCACTCATTGCCGCCAACGCCCACCGGGCCAGGGAGCTCCTGGCTCCTGTGTTCCTGTTTGCTTTGGTGACAGCACATGCGTGTCTGCACGAATGTATGTGTGTGATTTGGGAAAGAAGGTCTCTCTGTATGTGTATGGCACCTATTTTAGGACAATTGTAAGGGCCTGATAACTAATAAAGAAGAGATTTTACTTTAAAAGATGAGAGATAATTGCCCGGCCAGTGTGCTCATTGGCTGAGCACCATCCCATACCCCATGAGGCCAGGGTTCAATTCTCAGTCAGGACACGTCTGCCTCACTCCCCGACTCACCTCCTCGCTGAGAGGAAGCCGTTCGGAGAGGCGAGGTCTCTTTAAGGCGGGGGTGTCTGGGCAAAGAGCTCAGTGGCCGAGGCGCGGGGATCAGAGCCCCCGCAGACGGCACTGCGGGCCTGAGCTCCCGTCTGAGCTCTGGTCCAGCGCACACGCGTGTGGAGTACACGTGACGGCACAGAGTCCTCGGGGTGGAGGGACCTGTGGGAGCGCACGGCCCTCGGTGCCCCGGGCAGGGACGGCGAGGAAGCGGCACCAGAGAGGTGGCCGGGCGGCCAGTCAGAAAGCCTGTGTGGACGAGCCCCAGGGCCTGCCCACATCACGTGTTACTGGTTCTGGTCGGGTCCCCTGGCCACCGGCTGGACCGAGGACCTGGAGACGACCCCCAGCAGCGGAGGGCAAAGGTCAGGCCTCTTTGGGGCCAAAGTTACCTTCTTTTTTTTTTTTTTTTTTTTAATATATTTTATTGATTTTTTTTCTTGCCCCCCCCCCTTTCTCCCTCCCATACATACCCTCCCTCCCCAGAGTTTTATGTCCATTGGTTGTACTTATGCATGTATACAAGTCCTTCGGTTGATCTACTAACTCCCCCAGATCTTCCTCCCCTCCCCACTGTAATTTAACAGTCTGCCTGTTGCTTTACTGTCTCTATATCTGTCTCTTGGTTCATCAGTTTATAATGTTCTTTATCATCCACCAATGAGTGAGGTCATGTGGTGTCTCTCTTTCATTGACTGGCTTGTTTCACTCAGCATGATGCTCTCCAATTCCATCCAGGTTGCTGCAAATGATGAGAATTCCTTCTTTTTTATGGCAGCATAGCATTCCATTGTGTAGATGTACCATGGTTTTTGGATCCAATCATCTGCTGACGGACACCTAGACTGTTTCCAGATTCTGGCTATTGTAGATTGTGCTGCTCAAAGTTACCTTCTTGCCTGCTCACTCCTTTATGAAAACAAGATTGAGAACACAGCGTTCCCACTTTTGCTGAAAACACACATGCGTTCTGTAACACTTCCCAATTCTGAGAGGCCGTGTTCCAGCAGGAAAACCCAGCAGGACCGGACGGAAACAGGAAGGGGTGGGCAAGGAGGTCAGAGCCGGGAGGCGGGCGACGCGGGCGGGCGCCGGAGCAGGTGGACGTGGCGAGCGTGTGGCCGGCCGGTGGGACGGGCTGCTCTCCACTTCGATTCCATGGCCGCCGAGGCTCCACTCCATGTTCTTCCCAGGCCCGTGTCCACGCCGCCCCGGGCCCGCTTCCTCCGCAGGCCGACACTCTATCCATGAGCCAAACCGGTTTCGGTCAGAACGAAGCTTTTCATGCACAACAGGTAATGTCCTCAGGGAGCCATGACGGTGCCAGGGGCCGCTGTGAAAACTGTTCTTCATTGTTTGGTGCAGGTTCAACCAAACCCAACTCCCCATGAGGGGGCACTCCTGAGCGTCTCCTGAGGGAACACACGGGAGGCCGGCGGAGAAGGGAGGTGGCCCGGGTTCCAGGGCTCTGCCCGCCTGGGCCCAATTCCAGGGCTGCGGG